TCCCCTGTGGGGGGCCAAAGCCCCTGTCGGGGGGGGGGTAACCCCTGATCGCTCGCTCGCTCTCTCTCTCACTCTCTCTTTTTATAGTGGTCTTTTGTTTTAATTGTGGAGGAACATGGATTTTGGGGTATTTTACAGAGTGACTTTGGGATTTTTTTTATCAGGGAGTTTTCAGTTTTCCAATAGGGAACACCAGAATTCCTGCTAGGGAGGCCAGTGGCAGGATCCTGCCTCCTCAGAGCTGGCACCTTGGACCCAGCTGGCTGTGGCTGACCTCCTGGGCAAACGGGGCCTGGAGGACATGCTTTGAAAGTTCAAAGCAGGCCACCACACCCGGAACATCTTCCAGGTGATAGCTGTCCAGATGGCCGGGCAGGGCGCACACATGTCAGTAGTGCCGCACAAAGGTCAACTCTGCAGTCACAGCCCACTGGCAGCTGGCTCAGAGGTGCAGATGCCTCATCTGGGTCTGGAAGGTGCACAGCAGGTGACAGCCAAGCAGCAGCCCCCACCCCACTGCAAGACTGCTGCAGTGGGTGCAGGGTACTCTCAGGGCTGCTTCAGCAGTCCAGCTGGCACAAGGGCTACCAATTGTCTGGGCCCCAGAAACTCCTGAGAGCAAGTAGTCCTGAGCTACTTGCCAGGGCAGCTTTTCGTACTGATGGGGCCAAGACAGGGCAGCTTTTTATACTGCTGGGGACAGCACAGGTGTTGGCTCCTGGCTCTAGCTCCCCCTGGCTGTAGATCTGGGAAGAACCAGGCAGGGTTATTTTGCCCCAAGTGGCACAATTTGCTCCACAACAAAGTGCATATCTGAGCATGTGCGTTGAGGCAAAAAGCCCCAGCTCAAATTTGCACTACTTCTATTTGAGCTGCTGCTAGTACACGTGCTTGCATGTTTGGATGCACCCAATGAGGCCATAGAAAGGTTTCCTGAGAGAAGTGGCTCATCACTTCACATTTAGGTGAGACAGAACCCTTGAAATGCCAGTGTATGGTAGGAAAGGATCCTTCGCTGTCAGGGAAATAGATTGGATAATCTAGCAGGGCTTTTCAGCAGAGGTATAAGCTGTTAAGAAACTGGGTGGGTTTTTTTTCTCTCTGGAAATTTTCACTGGAAAATAATTTCCAGGTTTGTCAGTCAGTCTTTTCCAGCCTTACTGGAATAGTTTTAGATTTTATGTCTAAATAGATGGAAAGATTGCAAAGTTGTCTGAAGTTCCAGCGTATCACCCATATCAGTAATTGCTTATGAGCAGATAACCATATAGCAAAAGAGCTAAACAAGGTTACATATACTTTTAAAACAGCAGAATGATTAAAGATATGCTTTAAAAATAATCTAAACTCCAATCTTTTCTACAGAATATCGCCACACTAGTCATGCTGAGATAATGTTACATATTGGGGAGCTGAAGGCATTTAGATTCTCTGAATGCTTCTCAACACATTTAGGGTGTAATAGTTGCTCTGCATGACACACATCCTGTTCTGTGTCATTGCTTAAATCCTTCACATTTCAGTGACTGCTTTCTTCATCTTTCAACAAATACACACATCTTTTTAAAGGTACAGGATTTGTTGAAAACTGGCAGCTAGAGTTTAGCATCATTTTACCCAGGGCTTAATTCAAAAGAAAATACAATGTCCTTTTCTGCATGTTTTCTTTTTGCTGTTTTACTCAAGAAAAATTCAGTTTTACAAAGATAAGCATATTGGCCTGATTCACTAAGCTAGGTTCTTGGTCTCCAGCTACAAAAAGCCTATTGGGAACAGGGATGTGGACATGCATATCACCCATCATTCTATCAAGGGACAAAGCCAGACTCATCATGTCTCTTGGGAGGGTTCCTATAATTCCCCAACTGAAGCTTACAGCTGCTTTCACTACTGAACAGGCACAGTAGGTTGCATTCTGATTGGGCTAGTAAATGGCTTTGTACACGTGGACAAGCATAAGTCCCAAAATTTGTAGATAGGCAAAAATCTATTGTAACCCGGGTACACCCAAGGGTGTGCCCTATTCTCAATTGGATGGGATGGGTAGGCATGAGGGGGTGCTGTGAGAGGGATGC